AGACTCATTTCAGTGCTAGTCTGGCTAAGACCCGTTCCATGACTTAAAGAAAAATTTCCAAAGAGAACTCAATGGACTGAGGGCGAGCAAAGCACTGCTAGGAGCAAGCCTCTAGTCACAAACAGTCACAAATAGTATGACCAGGTGTGCCACCCAAACGAATACATGAAACTGAAACCTCTACTAATTATCTATAAATTCCTACACACAGTTCAAAGTTTTAACAGGTCAGAGTTCCAAGGCAGTTCACAAAGCCTTCAGTGTCCTTTTAATCACAATGCTTGTTCTATTAGCATACAGATCTTAATGGTTTACAAAGCGAGTCACTCAGAGAAAAAATAATCGTGTTCCCAGACTACCTAGAGGGAAACTCACCTTTGGTTCCACACAGATCTGTGGTTTGGATGGCTGATGAAGAAAGGAAACACACATCTCTTTTTTCGGTTTTGGAGGGGCCCATGTCTGCCTCAGTGCACTGCTTTTTCTTTAACTGCCAGCTTCCTAGCCTGTATTTCCCTTGTATACCAAATAGTCTATGAAGACCAAGACTGAGTATTGCAGGAGTTGGCAGTGTCTCATATCAGTCATTAAGCATTTGCTAAATGAAAGAATTAAAATCGATAAAACCTGGAAACCTATAAAATCCAGATCCCGGACGAGAACAGTGCAGTCTCTGCCCCCGCGCCTGGGTGTTCCTTCCCGGAGTCCCTTGGAGGGGAGCGGGTTGAGCTTTCCTCCCCGCCCCGACCAGGGCTACAGCAGCCGAAGACCTCCAGGACCAGCCACCACCATGCTGAGACCACTCTCCGCACACCTGAAGGTACTGGCAGAGGGGCAAAGCCACGCGGGTTCCGGGGCCGAGACCTCCACGCCTACTCGAATTGGAGTCGAGCATCTTCCACCCAGATCCTCCAAATTCCAGTAGGCGGGGGTCACACCCACCACCTGGCCCCCTGGCGCCGTGTAATCCCATCAGCGGCCAAGACTCAGAGACTATAAAATCCAGATCCCGGAACTGCGCGGCTGCATTTGCAGCCGCGCGACATCTTAACAGAACTTTTTTTTATGACATCTTATTGTCTTATTCCTACTTTGGACAAACTTGCAGGCTATCGAATGTAGCCTGCCCACAGGGCAGAGTCTGGCAAACTCCCCGTGGCGTACCAAATATGCCAAATACCAGTAACAATGATGGGTCTCATTCTCCTAAATAGCCTTGAATATAATCTCAGGGCTAGGATGAAAGAGACGTTACTGGGGCCTGCTCGAGGCAATCGACGAATAACAGGATGATGAAATGAAATGAAAATGAAAAAACCTGGAAAACACACACTCAAGTGGAAAACACACACACACACACACACACACACACACACGTTTCTTGGCTTTCAACTTTATAACTACTATTTTGATTCAGAGTTAAACATTCTCTGGACTAAAAAAATTGATTTTTCTAAATTTTCTCCCTGACAGTCAATAAAGTGAGAATGAACTAAGACCTCTTCCAGCACTTGGGTCTATGTACATAGGTACAAAGCATTGTTAAAATGAAAAGACTGACTTTATTTTTGGCAGGGATTAAATCTGGGGATTCATATATGTGAGGCATGTGCTTTACTGCTAAACCATATTCCCAACCCCAAACCTGATTTTTAAATGAACAAGCCAGAACTCATAAGTGAAAATGAAATTAGTTTCCTTAAATGTACTTTGACAAGTTACTCATTTAAATACAAAAAATCAGTTTGGAATATTTGTTTCTAATTTACAGGAAAACCGAATAGTTTAAAATAAAAAAACAACACATATTTACTAAAAATAAACCAGAAATCATAAAATGGGAAAAGGAATTGATGTACAGTAATATACACTTACACTTTATCATGGATGTTATTTTGAGTCCTCTTGCTTTAAACAGAGCATGTATATCTACATTTCACTTCTTCATAAAAAGAGAGTAGTTCTATACTGGTAACCTCTTTCTTTTATTTAATATGATTGTCTTCCTATATGTTTTGCAAATACATAAATTTTTCAGGTGGTCAATTTTACCACCTTCAAGCAACTGAACTACTCCTGGATACTGAAGTTAGTTACCCTTAACTATATAACAAAAACCCAAATACCCAATCCCTGCCACCCCAAAAGAAAAGAATTTCAGGTAGTTAAAATTTTGAGTACACAGTAATATTCTCCCAATATGTTCCTGGGAGTAAATATTTTTGTAGCAGGTTTAGCTCTGATTTGTATGCACTTTTTTCCTCTTTATAGATTTTCATCCTTTCAGTAATAGACATTATCACTGGAAACAGTAAAAAGTCAATGAGGAGGTCAGGAAGGTCACTTATTGATAGAGAACATATCTCTCAAGTGTTAAGTCCTAGGTTTGATCTTCAGTACCACTTAAAAAGTAGGGGAGAAAAAAAAAAGTAGGGGAGAAAGTTAAGTTTAGCAATTTAAGTAAGAGGTCATATTATTAAAATTTTTTGTTTTTGTTTTTGGGCTACACCCGGCTGTACTTACTCTTGGTTCTGTGCTCAGGGATCACTTCTCATGGGCTCATTACATCAAGGAAATGCCAGACATTAAACCCACTGGATGTACTACTACCGTTCCAGCCTTAGACAATACTAGTTAGGTTGAAAATCTGACAATCCAGCAATGTGATGATTTTCACAAGTGACTCAAAGTGTCTAGAAACTTGAAAACTGTCATAAGCAGGGGCTGGAGCAATAGCACAGCGGGTAGGGCGTTTGCCTTGCACACGGCCGACCCGGGTTCGATTCCCAGCATCCCATATGGTCCCCTGAGCGCCGCTAGGGGTAATTCCTGAGCGCAGAGCCAGGAGTAACCCCTGTGCATTGCTGGGTGTGACCCAAAAAGCAAAAAAAAAAAAAAAGAAAACTGTCATAAGCAGTTGTCCCATTTCCAAACTAAGCACATTAACTCTCCCAAAACTATCGGGATAGAGAGATAGAACAGGGAGGAATAAAGTACTTGCTTTGAATGTGTCTGATCCTAGTCTGATCCCTAGCACCATGTGTGGCTCTCCAAGTACCATGTGGAGAGATATTTGAGCACAGAGCCAGGTGTAGCTCTTGAGTACTGCCTGGTGTAGCCCAAACCTACTTCCCTCCCACCAAATATATACATTTAAAAAAGAACAACTTTGAAGAGGATAAATCAAGCTAGATGCTGCTGCTTTCTTTTTGGTGCTTTCTGTGGTGTTAGGGATCGAACCCTTCATATGAGTGAAGCTTGTGCTCTACCACTGAACTACATCCCTTCTCCTAGAAAACAATTCTTTCTTAGGAGTTAGTATACTGAAATACTATTTCATTACACACATACAAAGTTTCAATAGTTGAGTGAAGCAGTTCATTTTATTATTGTTGTTATATTGTTATTATTATTATTGTGGTTGTTCTCCAAATAGTCTTGAAGGGGCCCTCGGACACACTGGCAACTCTCAACCAATCAAGTTGGAGACTCAATGCTCAGACTTGTGAATGCTGTGCTGCTGCTCAGGCCTGGGGGTACCGGTAGATTGTGCAGGGCCATGTAGTATTGGGGTCCAAAGTGCAAGGCATGCGTCCTAACCACTGAGCTATCTCCCTGGCCCCTCTTCATTTTAAATAGCTGTACCAGTTCACCTAAAACTTCAATTACACTTGAAGCATCACTTAAATGACATTTCACAAACATGGTCTTCCAAATTTTTATTCCAATACTAAAAATATAGATATTATTCTTTACATTTTATAGATGAAGAAATGGGAGATATGGATAAGATATATGATTTGCCCAAACTAACACAACTGATTAAAGGCAGAACCAAGATATCATTACACATGTTTAGCTTCAAACACAACATTTTTAACTAAAAAAAAAAAATTGTGCGTGGGCAACATCTGCAGTGCTGAGAAAGTGTGCAGTGACAGGGATCAAACTCAGGGCCTTATACAAGATATCCTGTTTGTTTTTTTTTTCCTTGAGCCACACCCAGTGGGGCTCAGAATTTACTCCTGGCTGTGTTCATCGCTCAGAGCAGGGCTCAGGGGACCATGTGCGGTTCTAGGGATTGAACCTGGGTTGGCTCTGTGCAAGACAAGAGCCTTACCCGCTGTACTCTTTGATAGTTTTATCTGACCCAGCCATGGAGAGCCTTTGAGTGATTCTTAAATTATCATTATAGTGTTGTTCAACTACTATAGCATTGTCCTCCCACTGTTGATCAATTTGCTCGAGTGGGCACCGGTAATGTCTCACAACAAATTGGTAGACTTGTTGTTACTGTTTTTGGCATATTGAATACACCACAGGGAGCTTGCCAGGCTCTGCCGTGCAGGCAGGATACTCTTGGTAGCTTGCCAGGCTCTCCAAGAGGGATGGAGGAATCGAACCCAGGTCGGCCGCATGCAAGGCAAATGCCCTACCTGTTGTGCTATCGCTCCAGTCCAACTATTAACTGCTATAAATAAATTTGTGTATTTTTTGGCACAGTGCTGGGGATGGAACGCAGGGCCTCATACATCTGAGGTGTGAGTTCTACCACTAAGCTGTATCTCCAAATTAAAAAAAAAATTTTTAAAACTATTTCTATCACTACTATTAAAAAATCCCACTATTTAATCTGGAAGTGAGCTGGACAAAACTGGAGGTATTGTTAATGAAAAGGCTTATTTATACTGAGGAAAACTGGCAGTAACTATAAAAACCCATTTATTCAATTTGAATAAAGTCAGTACTGATACTAGACTTCACATTTAAAGACACCTGGCTGGCAAGTGACTTATGTTTTAACAATAACCACAGTAAACGGGGTAAAAATATAGGGCGGTAAGTTAAATGAAAGGCAAATATAATTTTGAGGAAATAGCTCAGTGTTTTTTAAGCCCCAAAGAACACCAAATACTAGGTTGCATAAGGAATCATTTCAAGAAAAAGCTATTAACAATCCAAAGTGTTAAGAATTTCAATGATGTCCAACTCAAAATGCATAGGGAGAGTAAAGTTATTTTATTAAATCATGCACATCACGTGTGTTAGTGCAAATAGTTTAATCTGTACTCCAGAAATTCTATTGTACTTTATATCTTTACAAAATAGATTTAAAACAATTATTTACTTTAAAAAATGTAATTCTGAAGTTAAGCATTTCAGAACAATATTTGCAATAACCTATATACAAGAGGTACTGGGTACCACTGGCATATTAGCATTCTGTGGTGGAGTGGCTTCCTGCAACAGAAAACGATGAAATGACGATATGTGACAGTATTTTTCTACAAGTCATTTATGACTAATTCCTCCATAAATCTAGTGATCCTTTCAATAACAAATCTCAAAGAGCTTAAAATATAACCTTTAAAGTATAAACAATGACTGCCAAACATCACAAGGCAAATTTTATCCTAAACATCTATTTCAACATTTAGCTGGGCCTGTGGAGTGCCACAGAACTTTCAAGCCAATTCACTGACATTCTCCGTCTTCACTGACTGAAAAATTTTTGCCATGTGAAACTTGAGGATATTCTATGACCTAAATAACCTTTCTTGATTGAACTGTGATGCCGCAAAAAACCGTAGCTAAACTTTCACTTCTGTGTTGTAAATTTGTAACATCAAGCGGTGTTTAGGTGCTTTGCTTCGCTGTGCCTGGAACACTATTAATCTCGGGAATAGTGCTTCTCATTAACAGAATTTCCCAATTAACAACAATTAAAAGAAAATAACCATTTGCACACCCAATCAGGATATCTGTTGAGAGGTAACAACAGTTTACCTCAAACATGAATTAGCGCTAAAATACCATAACCAAATTAAGTCAGTAAAAGCTTATCTAAAGAGATATTCTTTCTTCAATTAAACATGCTTGGAGGAAGAGATGATGGGAGAAAAAAAAACATGCTTTCTAAAATGCTGTATATGAGAAAGTAAGTTGGCTTTTAAAAGAAATTATCTCTTTAAATACATGAGGTTTCATAAATTACATTCCAATTGACTCAACAGTTTGGTTTACTGCACTGGAATTGTATAATTACTATGTTTTTGATCCCAGAAATACTTCATTTTGCTCAAGAAAATACGCACTCTCGTAGGTGGTTTTTCAGATGTCCTCCATATTGTCAAGTCACATTAAGGCTGCTCAAGCGTGCACATAGTCCCCAAATTATCACTAGAACAGAATAGTTTCCAAGTGTATTTCTTCTAAAACAAAAACAAAAACAAAAAACCCACGTAATAGTCATCTCTAAGTCTTGTTCCCAATAGCTCAGTGGTTTTATAACAAGTAAAAATGGCGTAAATATGTAAAAAATATATATATATGTGTATATATTTCAAACTGATAGGCACTGAGCACACAGGGCCTTTCTTCCCATGTACGTATTTGCTGTTTGGTTTGGGTAGTTACCGAATTTAAAAAAAAAAAAAAAAAAGAAAAAAGAGAAGAATTATCTGGCTATTAGAATTCAGAGTAAATTTCCCATAAATTTAATGTTATAAATAATTTGGTGTACCAAGAAGCCTACTTTAGGCCACCATAATGTTCAGAATCTCAACATACTAATTTAAAAATTACATGAAAAATTGCAAGCAAATTATTGCTCACAGTAGAATAAAGTCACAACTTTATACCCTCTTTATAGACAGTTACATTTTATATAACTTAAAGCAATGACCCTACAGCTGTATTCTTGCACTTCTGCTGTTTTAAGAGGTAAAAAGGAAGAAATGGTTCTGTTTGTCCCCAGCATGAGTGTGATGCCGGCTTCTAGAGGGAGGACGGTGTACGGACTCAAGAAACGCTCTCATGGAGAAGCTCTGGCCAGACCTGGCACGTACAGCACGATGGCTGTCACCGCAACCAGGGCCGCCAACATGGGCATCCAGGGCCAGGGTTTCTGTGTGGAAAGAAATCAAGAATCAATATCACATTCTCCCTCTCTTTTCATACCTATTAACCCCTTGGCTCCACAGAGTCCTGAATACTTAACAGAATATTGGAAAAATCTTTTCTCCACATGAGAACAATTTTTAGAAAGAAAAGAAAAGAAGAGAAGGTGAGGGAACACAGGTGTGAGGAGAACTGCAGCAGCAGGAACTCTTTCAGAGGGCCACCATGTGGAAGTCTGATACATCTTGGGAAAGTCTCGGGCAGGTTCCAATTTTATTCTAGTTTGAAACCAAGCAGTGCTTCAAAAGAAACCCTCTAGCTTCAACCTGCTTTATCTACTCCAGCAGCCTTGTATTATTACAACTAAGTATTATACACTAGTAGAATAATTATTATACTAGTATAATAATTATAATGCTAGTGTAAACTAGTTATTACAGAAGCCTGGAGTATGCTTCTGTCTAAAGTGTTAATTTCATGATGAAAACTAGACTCACATGTTGGGGTAGTTTTATAGGAGAGGCTGGTAAGGCAACAGGATGAAAATAACCCTAAGATTCCACTTTGTATTTTGAAGTCGCAGAAGACAAACATCAGATGAGGATCGAGAAGGCTGATACTAGGGAACCTGCATGTCCAGCACAGTAAGACCATGTGGTCATCTCATGTAACAGCCGTGTTAGCACCTTTCTCTATCACAGTAGAGCACAACACCAAATCTGGAAAGCCAGAAATAGGCTGATGAATATGACAGGGCTGGCTGCAGTCAGGACATATGTTCTACTAATATGTCTGTATGAGGGAGGCAAGTGTGATGGACTGCCTGCTCCCAGTTAACTGTAGGGGCTTTATAATATCGACCTGCTTTGGGTGACAGCTTGACTTTCACAAGTGTTTGAGAGATGTACTGAGAGGGTTGGCTTTTGTTTTGAGGCCAAGCCTGGCTGTGCTCAGGGCTTATTCTTGGCTCTACACTCAGGGATCATTCCTGGCAGAGTCATGGTACCATATGGACTGCTGGGGATTGAACCCAGGTTGGCAGCGTGCAAGGCAAGCACCCTACCCACTGAATTATCTCTCTAGCTCCCAGAGGATGGCCTTTTAAAGATGTTTGGATGTTGTGGATTAGGGCAGAGAAAGACTGCGGATAGGCTATATTTTCATATTGTGATTCATGACAGTAATCGTACTCTCAGTTTTATAGCTACTGCATAAACAGACAAAAGTTGAAAAAAAGAAACTCTACACTATGGAAAGGAAGAGGGCAGGGGAGAGAAGAAAAGCTGACTTAAAACTTCAGAGGCAAACTCTTCATTTCTCATTCAAACTGATTCAACACATAGTTGGGAAAGGGACACTAAAGTATAATAAATGCAAATCATAATTTACTCCAGTATGCTAGAGACAAAGACTCAGTTAAAGGCAATACATTAACAAGTGGTTAGCTTGGAATTAATCCGTGGTTAGCATTACTACAAAAGAAACAAGACAAAATGTTATGTGATTAGTTGACTGTTCGGTTAGTTCATAGGACACAATACATGACATACTAAATGAAGGGTTTGCTTCAGGTAACAAAATACCTGTGTGGTTTTGCCATGCACTAACTATATTACAAATATGGCACAAACAGGTGACGGGGACAAACAGACAAGGACTCAACAGTAGTGCTTGTACCTTTCTCTACCACAATGGACCGAAACACCAAAACAGGAAAGCCAGGAATAGGCCGATGAATACGGCTGGGACGGGTTGTAATATGGAAGGCTAAAGAAGGGAAGGGATATTAAAAATCATTTTATGCTATAAAATAATCAGATAAGATGATTCAGACCCCAGGGGGGTGAAAGGGAGCAGGGAAGAGGGGTGAAAACTGAGGTAAAGTATAACAGCACTCAGGTTTTACACTGATTCAAACATTTTTAAAAAGACATCTAAACAATCCAGAATGATGGACTGTACTCTATAAACTGTCAAACTAGTAATTTAACAGGAATTCCAAATAAAGGGAATGACAATGTGGGTGTCACTAACACCCTGATGAAATATAGAATGTCAAGACAGCAGAGATAGCACTTCAACAACTGATGTTCTGCCTGCAGAATTTTTGTTTCATACTTAAAATCCAACTAGTTGGCAACATTGAAAATGAAAATGTCTAAAGTCTCTTTTATCCCTTCATCAAAACCTTTAAACTAAAATTCTTGCCTGGTATGGCATTGCTTTCAAGGTCAAACATTAAATGCACTGTGGTGTATGATAAATCAAGCATGAAATCTGCCACAAAGTGTGATTAGCAGTTGTTATAGTAAGATACTTGAATCTCGGGGCATTTTTACTACCAGAATATAGAGGGAATTATTAAAATTTATACTAATACAAAGCAAAATTTTAGTACCATAGTCCATTATTATTTTTTTTTATAAAAAGGATATTCACCCTTTGTACAACTCTGAGTAATAATAGCAAGGTTACTTTTGAAAACAATTTTAAGTGGCACAGGGGCATCCATTCTGATTATGCTAGATGTCTTCAGAGGTTAATTTGGTAGGAAGTGGACTAAAATTTCATAATCAGAGGGATATAAATGAACAGGAAATGAAAGAAAAGAGAAGTAACCAAACCATTATAATCTGATTTCAGAAGAGTTCTAGAATATGATTTTTAAAATAAATATAATTTGGTTTTGCTCAGCATAAACTGTCTGTACCCAAATTAGTCAACTTCTAAGAGGTATCCACCTAAGCAATAAGTCTTTAATTTCTAAAAACTAAGACTTTCTTTAGCAAAGGACAGCTGGACACAACTCAAGAGCATTCTATGTGCAACTGTGTCATCAATGGCCATGCAGTATCATTCTTATACTTGTGCTGCAAGTTAAGCAGAGTGCCTTCTTCCAAAGGAAGAGTGTGGCTCATGCCCACTGCAGTGTCCAAGCCATGACAGGAGTTTGAAATAGGTCAGAGTACAACCAACCACACGAACATTCATCAGTTAGGGCCACAAAGGCAATGGTCACCAAAACACACAACACAACATTTATTTAGTATAACATCTTTTTAAAAGACCAGCTGCCTCTCTAGTGAATGAAAAACAGTGTTAAACTGAATTTATACCAAAATGTTTTACTTACATGTGCGCACACGTACACACACACACACACACACACACACACACACACACACACACCCCTAACATAAACCCATCAAATACACCCTAAATTTATAGAAGACTACTATTATACTATAGTTCTTAAGAATGTGCCTTAGTCAGAATATTAGTATAAAATGGAAAACTAATTGTCTTTATTCTGTGATACAGCAGAATACTAAGGATTCTTAGGTGGATTCCTAGTTGTACACTTCATTTTCCAACAGTGTAGAAACAAGATGACATTTTAAGAACAGAACTTCAGATTTATCTGGGAAAAACTGACAGTCTTTAGGTTAATAAGTTTCTTATAAGCAAAGCTCTTCCCCCAAGCAGTCCTCAGGTTCTTCTAGGGTACAGTTAGAAGGGCAAATTCTTAACTTAAAAATTCCATCAAGGAATATGATAATAAAAAGGTTAAACTAAGATGTTCTCTACCTCTTAGTTTCTCAAGTCAGTAATAAAATTCTCTTAAAAAAAACCCCATTAATGTCAGGGCTCTCACTTGCTTTTCAATCAAAGCTAAGCCAAGTTTGCAGACTTACATTATTATTTCCTTTCTCTCGGAGCAGCTTCAAGTTGTCTTTACATTGTTTGAGCTCATCTGTGATTGATTGTTTTTCCTGCTCAGTCATTTCAAACTTCAACTTCAGTTCTGAGAGTACAGTCTGTGTCTTTTCATACTAAAGGCAAAGAAAAAAGAGTGTGCAGACTCAACTTAAAAAAGGTATGAAGTTAGGGTTGTAGTCAGGCTTAGTCACCTGCAATATTAAAGCCGAGCCTTTCTCAAGAATTGCTTGCACTAATAATAAAAGAAGTTTCTAATGTTAACTTGATTCTGAGTATGAATTTCTAGCTCTGGAGTGTTAAAAAAATGAATTCACCATTTTGTCATCTGTTTCTATTATCAAGGGCCACTTTTTTCTACCGAGAGCAGAAAAGTAAGATTTCAAATTGAGTTAAAATAAAAAAAACAAACATTTATAGCCTAATTAAATTGCAAAGTTAGAAAGTTTGACCTTATATCCTGGTCAGCCAAGTTAATTCGGTTTGGAAGTAAAAAAGTATTCACTATCAATAGATCAACTCCCACCTAGCATCAGGAGGTATTAGAGTATTAGATAAGGAAATCTTGTAGATATAAAATAAAAATGATTCATAGTACTAACCACTGAGATTGGGAATTTCTATCTATTCATTTAAAACTTATAAACATCAACAATTAAAAATAACTTTTAAAAATCCATTTTTTGGCGGGGAATGGAGTGGGGCACACCCAGTGATGCTCGGGGGTTATTCCAAGGCTCTGCACTTAAGAATTACTATTAGCGGTGCTGGGTACCAGGTTGGGAATCTAAGTTGGACTTGGATCAGCCATATGCAAGGCAAGTGCCCTACCCACTGTACTATCTCTTCAGCCCCTAAAATCTGTTTTGGACTGATATTTTTCTATAGTGACACAAGCTACTTTCTGCTCAGGAAAACAGTTAATTTGACTTTCAAATGGACTTGCTAGCTTCTGAATACAGTGAGGCCAAAGCAAACGCAGTGTGGTTTCTTCCAACTTTAAATGCCCTACAGGTGAGCATTCTAGATCGGTCATACTTCTAACTATTGCATCTCACATATAAGCAAGGTTTCCAGGCAAAGAACAAAGAATGTTCTGATACTCGTTCTACCTTTGTTTCTGCCTCTATTTCTGCCCTTTATAGTATCAGAAGATTTTAGAAGTAGACAACGATTGAGTATTAAAGGGGGGAAATATATAAATATACATATATGCATATATGCATATATATATTATATATCTCATGGGGCTGGCATAGCAGAAAACATCTTCCTTTCCCCTGTGGTTTCTTGAGAGTAGCACATGAGGGTGGAAACCCACTGGATCCTTTCTCCCTACAGTCTAAATGACCTTTATAATAGTGCTTCTGAATAATGTAAAAATCTTGAAGTGATTATCAATTACTTATTAGGTAAATATTAAGAAGGATAAATATTAAGAGGGATACAAACATATAAAAAATCAGACCAGAGGTGGGGGCGAGGCATTAGGGTGAGTGGAGAGGACACCGTGGGCATGGAGAGAAAGGTCAAGTAAGAAAGAACTCCCTGTTACCTACACAGGTAGACTGCCAAGGCAAATTCAGTATACCGAGATTCGTCTCTGTACACTACAAAATAATCAATATTAATGATTTTATTTTCTTTCAGTTTAGGTCACATTCAGTTCCACTCAGGGTTTATTCTTAGCTCTGTGTTCAGGAATTCCCCCCATGTGTAAGACAAATGCCATATATATTATACTATCTCTCCAGCCCCATGATTTGATTTTTAGAGAAAAGCCAGAAAGCAAATTTTCTCTTGCTTTCTTTTTCTATCATTTTATATCCACCCTACACTTTGCACTAAAGCACTGAATCATTTCTTCACTCCAGGAACTAAGAAACAGAAAGATACGAAGGCAGCTCAGTCAGGAAGATCCTGCAGTTTTACTGTCTTCATTGGACTGGGGTGGGGCTCTGGGAACTGAGGAAGCCAAACAACTCTTCAGTTTTTGCGGAGAATCTATATGCTCAATGTGTTATGAATTCTCAAATTATGGGTATTTCTATCAAATTAAACATATATCTTAAAATAAAATAGGTGATATAACCATTATTTTTCTCTTAATACTGAAGAATAAAATTTACTTTTCTCATAAACTTTTTTAACTAAAAGTCCAAAGAAAAGCTATCACACATATAAAACTGCAAGAATAAAGGTCACTTGTAGCTTTAGTTTTACACGTCGTTTCAATATTATTTTCACTTGATCTCTCTAACTTAAGAGGTGAGAAATGATCTCAATACCTTAGCATATTACCAACACCTTTGGTTCTTCTTTATAAAGAAAATAATAACTGAGCTGGCTTGGTCTGCAATATTTAGCTTGTCACAGTGTTGAAAATACAAAGATATAGAGTACATTAATCATGATTTCGTAAGAGAAAGAACAAAGGGGGAAATGTCAAAGGACAGATATATGCATTAATAAATGGCAGCAATTAATTTGCAGTAGATCATACAAAATAAGAACTTGATTAAAGAACATTTTAGTTATAGACAGTCATCTAACATGTTAAGACCAGGACAAACAGAAAGAGAAGTAATTCTATATTTACAAAGGAGTATGATGACTAGACATCATTTCACAATGGAAAGAAAACATTGAACAAGAAGATAGAAAAGAAACATACTGACAAGATCAGACATATTTTTAAATGTGCTGCATTTAATGCAATCCAAGGGCTATCAACATTTTAGAAGCTGTGACAACATGCCACGGCCATTTCTGTCAACAGTTAAAGCAATTCGTACCCAAAACAGGCAAACAAATAATGCAACGAAATAGCTAGAGCATTCAGAGTAACATACAATAGAATCATCTTCCAACCATAGCATTCTTCCTGGACTTTGAAAGAATTATGGCACATGGACTGGAAGGACCACAAAGTGCTTACAGTATTAAAAACTAGGCTAATTTACTTTGGCACAAAATTTGTGTTCCAACCAAATAAAGTTTCTCCCAAAACACATATTCTTAGCAAAAAGATAAAAAACAAACATATTACAAAAGCAGTATGTCCACATATAAATAAAAATGTTACAGTTTTTTTCTTCAGAAACAAACAGGGAGACAGAAGAACAGTAATTATTTCCAAGGTCAGGATACTATAAGGAAAAGGAAAGTTCAAAGAAAAATTACTGATTTAAACAGATCTTGTAAAAACAATTTTGGGAAAACTCATTATTAAAGACAAAGTGTTATTTTTGACTTCCTTCTATTTATAACAAAGCCTCCACTTAAAATAGTTTGTAGCTGGGGTGTGCCTAGTAGATCAAACTAAATCAGTAGTAGACCAAGCTAAACTTCTTTCCCTCCTACCTCTTTTCTCTCCCTCCCTCCTCCACCCCTGCTGGTTAAGTGTCATGAAGGAAGTATTGAAAGGTCGGTTAAAACTCAACACACCTCTTAACACAACACATAGTTAACTTCTAGTCAATTCTCACCATTTTATTTGTTTTTGAGTCACACTGGGTGGCGCTCAGGGCATACTCCAAGCTCTGGGTTCATTCACTCCCGGCAGGCCATATGCAAGGCAAAAACACCTTACCTGCTGACTACTGCTCTGGCCCCAATCCTCGCCATTTTTAACATGATGTTTTAAAAAGAGACCCCACTCAAAGTTTTAAGCAAAATGACAGGAAAAGTATACATGCATAGTTGTGAAGTGGAGGAAAGTTAAACATCTTAGGCATGTGTTTGACTTCCTGATTATGAGGTAACTTTTAAGTAACATTTCAGAAGTTTCACCTGAGGCACTTAGCATTATGGTGGGCCCCAGTTTGCTTTCTAGAAGCATTCTAAGTTAAATGCATTAATTATCTTAGACGATAAACAATGAGTGAGTTATCTGACTTCTCTTATAGGTCAATGAACTGGTACAGAAAAATGATAAAGGTAACTCTGTATACTTATATTTCTTAATATAACCCCATGAGAATGACTTCTCTATAGAAGGATCATGATACACAACTAGAAATCATCAGATATGTTCCAAGAATCAACTTTGTGACAGGTAATGTGACTTCTGCTTCCCCTTATTTCGAACTAGCCTGAATATTTCATTTACTTTTGGCTTTAAGTCCAACCATAATTGGGCTCAGAATGTCTTTTTGCTTTACCTCTTTCTGTACATCCTTTGCTTGGTTTTCAGCCTTACTGAGAAGAGTTTTTAAATCAGCTGAATCCCGAAGATGCTGTTCCTTCAAGGTCCCCATTTTATTTTCAAGGTCTTCCCTGGTCATTTGAAGCATGCTGAGATCACTGGTGAGCTCTAAACTCTGCTTTTGGGAACTATGACAGAAATATTAACAAGTATTAATACCAATTCATGTAGAGATCAGACATCGCAAGAAATTCTATTTTTTATGTACTTCAATAAGAGTAGGCTTCAAAGGAGAAAAGTAAAGTGTTAAAAAGTAGAGCAAATATTTTCAGTAAGTAAAAGCATTAGAATGCTAAACAGATGCAAGTTTAACAAAGGTTAACATTTTAAAACTAGAAGCAGAAAGTGACTAATGGTGTATTTTATTATATGACACTATATTAACTATATTATAAAAACACAGGTCTTTGACAAGAAAATTTTAGCATATATTTCAACTACTTTTTTTTAAGTTCAAGTCCTTGACAAATAGGATGAGAGACAGAAACTTAGAAACTGCTGTCAACTCAAGTAATGTTAGACCTATTCATATGAGAAGACACACCAAACTGGAGGGAAAGCGTGTGCCACAGAACCAGAAGGCTCTAGACGCCAGGTCTGCCATTATTTGCGAGATGTCAAGCAAGTCATTTAAGTGGGACAAGTTCATTCAGGTAAGTAGCATTACCTGAGTCTTTTTTGTTTGTTTGTTTGGGGGTGATATCAGATTGTGTTCAGGGCTTTGTCCTGGCTCTGTGCTCGGGGATCACTCCTGACTCTGAGCTCAGGGATTATTCTTAGTGGTGCTCAAGAGATCGTATGCAGTGCTGGGGGTCAAAACCAGGTTAGCTGATTCAAGGCAAGCGTCTTACTGTACTATGTGGCCCCAACTTAAAAAAAAAAAAAACATATGCTTTGAAATAAATTTCTTTATTATCAGTGTCTGACTTGTATTTTATATATTTATTTATCCTGGATCACATAAAAGTTTCTCAGTGAGATTTATTTTTTTCTTACTGTTTTGGGGTCACACTGGGGTTACTCCTGTTTCTTTCTCAGGGATCACACCTGGTGGGGCACAGGGAACGACACGGGGTGCTGGTGAATGAACCTGGGTTTGTCTCATGCACAGCAAGCACCCTACCCACTGCACTATTTTTCAGGGCCCGAGATTAATTTTTAGGTATGTAGAAAACTCCAGGCGAAGACAATTTGGAGAATTGCATACTACCATCCAAAAGTCATCCTCTGCTTTTTTTCACTGTGGAAAAACTTATGTTTTTTAGTGAACATGAAATCTTTCTTTCTTTATTTCTTTCTTTCTTTCTTTCTTTCTTTCCACACTTCTCTAAATAAATTTCTTTCAATAAAACTATTTTGCTTCACTTAAAAAATGTTCTCAGTGAAAAGACGTGATAGGTGAGAATGTTTAAGAAGCCCTGGAAGGTAACTTTAGGCAGAGAACTTAACCAATAACAATATTCTACCCACATGGAACCAAGTATTTCTAAATTGTATGTATCTAAATCATGAAGATTTTGCAGAATGGCTTTTTAAAAAATTAACAAAATTTACATTAAAAATAGCACTTGATAATCTGACAAATTCTATTTTTACTCACATCTCAAAAACAAGGGATACCATGACTTGAAGGCCAGCCACATGTGCTAGGTGAGAAGGAAGCTCAGATAGAGAAGAGAGCACCAAATAAAGGGTGTTGTGAAGACCCGCCCAGGGTGGGAGAGACATGCTAAAAGTAGTCTATAGACCAAACATGATTGCCACTCAATGCCTCTCTGGCAAAACACAGTACCCAAAAGAAGAGAGAGAGAACAGGGGGGAATGCCCTGCCACAGTGGCAGGGTGAGACGGGGGGGAATGGGGGGTGGGAGGGATGCTAGGACCCGTGGTGGGGGAGGATGGGCACTGGTGGAGGGATGGGTACTTGATCATTGTATAACTGAAACCCAAGCACAAAAATTTATAAGTCTATAAGTGTACTTCATGGTGTTTCACTAATAAAAAAATGCTAAAAAAAAAAAAAAAGGGATAAGTCTGATCTTTAAAATATCAATATTCCATGGACTGGAGAGATAGTACAGAGGTTAAGGGATTTGCCTTATAAAAAGCTGACCCTGGTTAAACCCCTGGCTTCTCATAGAGCATGGTCAGGAGTGAACCCTGAATACAGAACGAGGAGTTAGCCCAGAGGACTGCAGGGTTTGGCCCCCCAAACCAAAATATATGTATGCATAAATCCAAAACAAGAATAATACTATTTTAAGATAATTTAAAATAATAATAATAATATTGAAACACTAACAGTCATTACATGATAAAACACCAAACTAACTAGATTTACTTAAGACTGTAGAATTGCATGTCTTGCATACCTTACACATACTTCACATCAAACAACTTTGCTCTTCTGGTAGAAATACAGTCACATACTCACGCACATACAAAGTTGGACTATTTTATGCTACTATTCATATTTCAGAATTACTAGTAACAAAATTTAACATGTTCTCAATATATTACTCTCTATTATGAATATCTCAAAGTATTATGAATTATCTCTACAAATACTCAAAATAAGGTAAAGGTAAAGGCCCTCCCGTTGATCGTCGATTTGCTCGAGCGGGCCCAGTAACGTCTCCATTGGAGACTTTGTTGTTACTGTGTCTGGCATATCAAATACTCTCGGTAGCTTGCCGGGCTCTCCGAGAGGGGCAGAGGAATCGAACTGGGGTCGGCCATGTTGGCCGCTTGTAAGGCGAACGCCCTACCCGCTGTGCTATCGCTCCAGCCCTGTGCTATCGCTCCAGCCCAAAAAATATGGAACGCTTCACGAATTTGTGTGTCAAAATAATATGAACAAATGTACGGAAAGTATAGAAAGTTATGTCACTGGAAAAACATAAAGTGCTTTATGGAAACTGAATATATATGTCATAGCCTTATCAAATAATTTAGGGGTTAAAGAGAGAGTACAGGGGTTTAAGATGTTCGCCATGCATTCACCCGATGCCAGTTCAAATCCTGACATCACCAAGGTCACTTCTAAGCACAGAGCCAGGAATGTAGTCCTGGGGCACCAAGGCTGTAGCCCAAAGTGGCAATTTAAAAATATGTACAAAATAATTCAGCAAATCTTGTTTCCTCAGCTAATTTGTTTCTATAAATATATAAGATATTCTAAATTTGTAATTATATACAATTATGTAATATTTATATAAATACACATACTTTCTGACATACCTAGTGATTATTTTTCTCTGAAACTTACTTTCTATGGGAACTCACCTTGGTTATTGAGTTTTTGTTAATCTCACTATTCTTTCAGGAGTGTAAATACAAGGCTAGCAAAAAAGTGTAATTTTCATTTATTCTATAGTGAGGAGAGGGAGTTGCCTTACTAATATACATGTAATACCTTTATGTTCTCTTTTTTTATTTTTTTGTTTTGGGCAACACCTAGAGATAGATGCTCAGGGCTTACTCCTAGCTCGGTGCTCAGGGCTTCCTCCTGGCAGGGCTTGAGGGACCAAACTGGGTGATAGGGATTAAACTTGGGTCAACTTCATGCAAGGCAACTGTCTTAACTATTGTACTATCTCTCTGGCCCTGTACCTTTATATTCTTAATGAGAACAAACTTTTTTTGTTTGTTTACTGAGGTGTAAACAAAGCAGTGCTGAGGAGGCCCAGAGACCCCACTGGCAAGTCTTAGCTAGCCAGGCCAGATGTTTGATGAAAGGATGGGAGGATGCAGGCCTGCTCCGTCATGTGGAGTTGGGGATTAACTGGACAACCTTGGCAGTGTTCGGGGACCTCCAGCATGGCACCTGATGATGACTGAGGACAATGTGGTGCCAGAGATCAAACCAAGGTCATATGTCCTAATCACTGTGCTATCTCCCAGCCCCAAACATTGATTTAATAAGGAATAGCTCAAAATTTTAAGGAAAATTTCAATTTTTAAAAAATTTATTACAGTTAAGGTAATGTGTTTACAATGGCGTTAACATCTATGATCTTGGTTTACAGTTACCTCATCTCTCTCCTACCAAAGTAGGAGGAATTCAGTTTCAATCTATGTAAGCAATACTGGTAGGAAAGATACCACTTAATTTGCTAGAAAAAAACAAAATCTATTGCATTCATCAGGTTGCCTGTAAAAGGATATTTTACTTGAGAGGGCCCAGTAACCTCTCCATTTTGAGACTTGTTGTTACTGTGTTTGGCATACTGAATACATCATGGGGAGCTTGCCAGGCTCTGCCATGTGGGCGAGATACTCTCGGTAGCTTGCCGGGCTCTCCAAGAGGGGCGGAGGAATCAAACTCGGGTAGGCCATGTTGGCCGCTTGTAAGGCAAACGCCCTACCGCTGTGCTATCGCTCCAGCCCTAAAGGATATTAGAAAAATTTTACTGGTTTTAGAGAATTCCTAATCTTTTATCTTATTGTTCTTCACAAAACCACTTTTGAAATTCAGAAGCTAAATTATATTTAAAAAATATAAATTCTTTCTTGTTTTATTTTGTGTTTGGGGACATATAAGGGACAATTATATTCCAATTTCATTGAAAAACTATTTGAAAGTGCACCATCATATAGTCATATAGTAGAATATACACTAAGAGACTATTTCTGAGTTTGGAAATCATCTTGTCCTGGCTGAGCTCAGAGCTTATTCCTGGATTTATGCTCACAGGTCACTCCTAGTGGGATTTAGGGGAGATTATGTGGTGATGAAAATTGAACCCAGGTTGCTGCATTCAAGGCAGCATCACCTATTGCTCCAGTTCAGTCTATACATTCTTTATTATAGTAATTTTTTAATGAGCCTTACTAATAGGAAGAGATTGCTGGTATAGAAGAAAAAAAATCCTGTATTTAAAACGCACTATTTCAAGTGTACAGATAAGGTTCAATCACTATTTACAGGTCTTTGCTATTTGTCTATTTAGGGCTCTATTTATTTTCTGTGAGGGAGGAAATTAGTAAGTCTGTATTCCTGAAGGACATCAAAAGGAAAGGACATATAGGGATGATGGTAGTGGAAGAAAAAAATGCTAAAGTATTAATTTAACATATTTAACCTTCCAAACAGTCAAACAACCTGGCTGAATCCAGTTTGCTCTAAAAAGATAGTTAAGTATCAAACTTAAATTTATAAGAAAATTGAAGACAAAGAAAAAGTTTGAGGCTAAATCTGAGGCTCATCTGAGGCTAAAGAGTCTCGCATACTTGTGCAATTCTTTTTCCTGCCGCTGCAGTTCTGATGATAACAAAACATTTTCCTTTTTTAGAGACCGGCACTCTGTTTCCAATACATTCCATTCCTTTCTCAACTTCTCTAGTTCACCTAAAAAAAACCCAAACATATTGATTAATATAGAAGCATGATTTTCAAAGTAAGTCCGAGGATAAAAAAAAATATTTTGGCGAAGAATCTATGTTTTCTTCCTTTAAAAGGGTAGAATTTCTATGCATATTCTTTGGTTCATTGATACTTCAGGGAAGTCCCATTACCTTGAACTTGAGTAATAGTCTCCCACTTCACTTTCATAAGACAAATAATTAACAGTAGTTAAAGATAAAATTGTAAAAATATTTTATATGGAGCCTGCAGCACTGAATAATACGCCCCAATATAAAAATGCTGCTTTATATACCCATTTGCTATCGAAGAGAGAAAGAGCCTCTACAGTACTTTGCACAAGTTATAAAGCTATCACTGTCAATAGTGAAGTATTTTATGTACAATTAATTTTACTCACCTTGTAGCCTTGTTGCTTCCTCTCTCTGCTGGTCCTCACACTGCTGACATCGGAGCTGGAAACTGTTCTGCAGAGTCGTGATTTCCTTTTCATATTCAGATGCTGCTTTCCGCCACCGCTCAAGCTCAGCTCGAACCTTCTTAAGCTCTTCTTGTAAAGAAGCAATATCGGTGTCCCGCTCAGAGGCAGCTTTTTCTGCTGCTTGATGGAGGAGGAAAATTTCATCTCGAGCACTAATTAATTGATTTCGGGTGCTTGTGATTTCATTGTCCTTCTCCTCCCGGAGATTCTCAATATCGACGTGTAACCTCTGGAGTTGGACTACACAAGTATATTTGTATATCATTTTCTTAGTCCATAACAATTAGGAAGAAAAGACAGTCCACACAGAATTGGAGTTACTGCACAGTCTAAGCCTTTAAAGCTATTTGTCGCCACCTTTTTTTTTGCTGAGTTTGGGATCAAACTCTGGGCTTTACTTACACATGTAAAGCAAATGCTCTGTCACTCAGCTACATCCTTGGCCCTCAGAGTGATCTTATTTCCTATCTAGAGTAAATGGATTCCAACATTTTATACTCATTTTTCATACATTTATATACATAAAAAAGAAAAATAGAAAGGGGTCATAGCATAGTTTTTTATTTTCTGGTGAAAACACCTTTTAATTAAACCATAGCAATCTAACATTTTTTTTTTTTTTTTGCTTTTTTGGGTCACACCCGGCAATGCTCAGGGGTTACTTCTGGTTCATGCACTCAGGAACTACTCCTGGCTGTGCTCAGGGGACCATATGGGATGCTGGGGATCGAACCAGGGTCGGGCCACGTGCAAGGCAAACACCCTACCCGCTGTGCTATCACTCCAGCCCCTACAATCTAACTTTTGACAAATACTTTCAATTAGACATTTTAGGTGGATTAGTTTTTTTAAAAAGTTATTATAGATAATACTATTTACAATGAAGAATTACAATGCTTACATTTGTTTCCTTAGGGTCAGTTCCGAAATTAGAATCATTTGTTCAAATTGTAAACATTAATAAAAATCTCTGAAGTTCTTAATTCAATTTGCTATTCAATACTTTAAAGGTTTTGCTGGTTAGCGCCTTAAAAGGTCTAATGACTTAGCTAGAAAAAAATTCTTCTATCATTTGCTAGCCTTTTACTTTGCCCTTATTGGACACCATATTATATATTTATTTGCTTACTGTTTATATTTTTTACTAGTCTCTAATTCTCATGCAGGTTCTATTTACAAGTTGAGTAAACAATTAAGGATTACTGGCTGAATTAATAAATTGATAAAATTAATAAATACCGCTTACTCAAAAAAGTATATACATATGTGTATATTTGTTTTGTTGTATTTTTGGTTGGGGGCCATACCTGAAGATGCTCAGGGATTTAGTCCTGGCTCTGTGCTTATGGATCACTCTTGAGCTCAGGGAACTACACAGGGTACTGGAGACTGAACTCAGGTCGGTCATATGCAAGGCAAATAAATGCCTTTAGAAGCTGCTGTACCATCGCCCTGGCCCCTCAGAAAAGTATATTCAATAAAAATACACAGTCTTGTGCTCTTATTTCAGATCTAAAAAACTAGTCTGGCTACTATCACACAAGAAAATTATTATACGTAGAAAATTTTCCTTAAGTATGTAAGAAAAATTTTGAAGTATCTAAGAAACTATTTGGGGACAGTTTCCCCGAAAGTAAATACTAAAGAAATATTAGGCCTTGAGATTTGTGGGAAATACTGAGAAATATACATTCAAAATCTGATAAGACACAATAGTCAAGAGTCAAGTCGACCACAGACATATGGGTAAAGTCCTAAATACACATGCTAGCATTAGGGGGCACTCAGAGATGCCTAGGTCAGACAGCTTTAAGTCAAAGACTGTGCCAAGTTACAGAACCTTTGCAGAAAATTGTCTATATATAATGTAAATACAGATTCAAGTAAGATTTGCCCAGCTGGTAAAGCATATGATTTGTATAATTTGTATTATTTGTAACTAACATTAAGTCATAGACATTTAAAGTGTTTTCAACTTAAAAACAGATATAACTAAATTTTTATAACTTTGATAGAGGGGACTGAAACAACAAACATGCGTATGTGAGGCATTTGCTCTAACACTAAGCTATATCTCTCGCTACAATTAAGAATTCAAAATAACTTAGGGATAGAGAAATAATACAGCAGATAAGAGCATTTGCCTCGCACTTGGCAGACCTCGGCTGACCTGCGTTCTAGTCCCAGCATTTCACATGGCCCCCTGAGTCCTGCCAGGACTAATTCCTGAGCACAGAGCCAGGAGTAATCTCTGAGCATTACCAGGTCTGGCCCCAAAATGAAAACAAATAAAAAATTCCAAATAGTTCAAATGTCCCACTCAAAAATAAGATGACTCCTCACTTCTTTTTTTTTTTCTCTTTTTGGGTCACTGGCGATGCACAGGGGTTACTCCTGGCTCTGCATTCCGGAGTTACTCCTGGCAGTGCTCAGGCGACCATATGGGATGCTGGGAATCGAACCCGGGTCGGCTGCGTGCAAGGCAAGCAACCTACCCACTGTGCTATCTCTCCAGCCCCGACTCCTCACTTCTGAACTGTGATGACTTCGTATTTAATATCTTCTCCCTATCTCTTAAAATATAATGAATAAATTTAAATAACACTGATTTCTTTTTAATAATTAAAATAAATAAATACTGCTTTAAGAATTTCACAGTGCGTGTGCTGGAAAGATAATGCAAGGGTAAAGTCACTTGCTCTGCATGTGATCATACCCAGTTCACACCTGGTACAGTACTGTCCCGAGTAATCACAGACCTGAGAGTGGCTCATGATTACTGCTAGGTATGGCCCCAACCTCCAACCCCTTCACTTCCTTAAATCCTCCTCCCCACCTTCACAGAAGAAATTTTATGATGGGAAATAATGATCTCTCATGGTATTTCACAATTATAGTCTCACAATACCAAGAGAAGCAACTTGAATAAAAACTTTGATAAATAGGGGTCTTTCTGGTCATTCCAGCAATGACCCTATGATAGCCTCACAAAGAGATACAGCAAAATGATAGGTAGAAAGGGCAGTATTCACCAAAAAAATGGTGGCGTAAAGGACTATAAATGTATTGTGTGGGAAGTATATAATTTATTTTGCAATCCAACTGTATTAATAACACTAGAAATAATGACACCAACAAGCTCTGATGCACAGAGCATTCCAAAATCATTTTCTATCCCAAACTGCCTCCATGTTAATTCATATATAACCTAAAAAGTGAAGTCTCAACAAATTTATATCTTCACCCCGTTCTTCCTACTCCAAGTGTCTGCTTTAAAATCTTCCCTGTGTATTTTAAAAGAACAAACAATCCACTAACAACACAGTTAGAATTTCAGATTTTAGGGAATAACCAAAGTTGTGAAAAGTGGGACCCCCTTCACACTCCTTTCTACTTTCCATTCCTCTTAAGCCATCAAGAAAAGCAACAGAAAAGCAACAACCACAAGAGTCTTGGAGTATTCCATACCTTGAAGAACCTGTATTTGTTTAGTAGATTCCTCAACTTGATTTCGATAGGCTTTTCTTTCTTCTTCCAAAAGAGCTAAAAGTAAAACACAATATATCTAATTTTATTAGTTAATGTAAAGTTTTCATAATTTATTAGCTGGAAATTTCTAAGAACTCCCTAAATTTCACTGAAGGAAACAAGTTAGGAGAGTATGCATTGGCAGTATTAGCAGTTGAATAGCTTTAGGTTATAGGAACATAAAACCGTAGTAGATGATGAATATCTTTCATCAAGAAGTAGAATCTTCTAGGTCTGTATTACCAAGAAAAAAATGTGCTATTATTTTTGTGGAAAAAGTTTTCTTGATAATTGTTAATCAGCACATTGAGCTTAAATTTAAAAAAAAAAAGAGGTCAAACAGAGAGCTCAACAGTCAGTGCATGCTTGGCACAGAGGGGCCCCAGGTCTCGGGTCAGAGCCCTGGCATCACAGGGGCCCCAAAGCACTGCCAGGAGCAACTCCTGAACACAGAGGTGGCAGTAGTTCCCAAGCACTGGCAGGTGTGGGGCACCAAAATATAAAAGAAACTGACAAAAGGAAAAAAACCTCCCTAGGGGCTAGGGAGATAGCTCAATGGGCTGGAGCACATTGGGGAAGCCAGGGTTCAATCCCAGGTCACCAAAGTACCAGTGGGAGCAATCCCCAAGCAAGATGCCACAAGTAATCCTTGAGCACTGCTGGGTGTGGCCCCCAAACAAAATGCCCTCAAAATAAAAACACTGGAGTGATAGCACAGCAGGAGGGCGTTTGCCTTGCACGCAGCCAACATGGCCAACCTGAGTTTGATTCCTCCGCCCCTCTTGGAGAGCCCGGCAAGCTACCGAGAGTATCTCGCCCGCATGGCAAAGCCTGGCAAGCTACCCGTGACGTATTCGATATGCCAAACACAGTAACAACAAAGTCTCAAAATGGAGACGTTACTGGGCCCGCTCGAGACCTAAAATCCTCAGATGCTATAACCAACCATATAGTAAACACTAACAAAATAAAAGTTTTTTGCTAAATATTTTTCATTATAATTAAATGAATTAGTGGATTCTTCTCCAAAATGTTCAACTAAGTGAATGCTAACTCTAATTTCTTTAAGAAACAGAAAAGCAAAAAAAGATTCTGAAAGTTCCCAGTTATCCCTGGGATGTGAATCTTTCTCCGGGTCACTAAAGCAACCAGAGAAAACATAAGGACTCCATAGGGTATTCATATTCACTTTCTCCTCATTGAAAGACTTTCCAAGGTGCTAACTGATTGCAATTAGGTGGTTTCTATGGATGATATGGCGATGTAAGCACCTGCAGCTGTCAGCATAGGCTCTACCAGCCCAAGACACAACAATTAAGTGCACAGCTAGAAAAGAAAATGGTCAGGACGGAAAGATTCTATACTGTCACCCTGTCTGATTCCTTCAATTTACTGATAAATACACTGTAAAATCATTGAGAATATAAATGTCCCATTTTTTAAACCAAAAAACTGTCACTGTATCACTGTCATCCTGTTGTTCGTCGATTTCCTCGAGCAGGCACCAGTAATGTCTCCTTCGTCCTAACCCTGAGATTTTAGAAAGTGCCACATTCCAGGCTCTTTCAGGGTCAGGAGAATGAAACCCATCATTGTTACTGGTTTTTGGCATATTGAATATGCCATGGGGAGTTTGTCAGACTCTGCCGTGTGGGCAGGATACTTTTGGTAGCCTGCAGGTTCTCCAGAGTAAGAACCAGATAATAAGATGTCTATAAAATCAACAAACATTGTAACTACAATTTAGAAATTGATGTGTTATTTTTTCCTTGTATTGTACTTAAAACACAATTAAGATCTTTTATTGGTATAAAATAAAACTGGTATAAAATAAAAATAAAATTGGTATAAGATCTTTTATTGGTATAAAATAAAACTGGTATAAAATAAAAATAAAATTGGTATAAGATCTTTTATTGGTATGTCTTTGGGTCCTCATATCAACAATATGAACAAAGTAGAGAGATTGTTCCTATTTCACGAATTTGGTACTAAGTTCAAAGTGGTGAAGTGAAATGTCCAAGATCAAACAGCTAATAAAAGTATGGATCTGAAACAAGATACCATGCCTCTGGAATGCACATCTGGAGCCATTCAGTTACATCATGTTGCCTTCATTTCCCCTAAGGAACCAAAGTAATCTTGATCTCACCTTGAAGTTCAAAGCATTTTTGTTTACTTGTTCTAGCTAGCTCCTGGGCTTCAATTAATTCCTTGCGAAGAAGCTGAATTTCTTGTTTTGCCTCAATTTCTGACTGTCCACCTTGCAAGTCATCTGACAAAAATGTTTATTTTTAAAAGCAAAAGTTAGTATCACACAGTAACTACAACCCAAGATTAGTAACCACTTTCATATTTAATATAGTTAAATAATATTACAAATGAGTTAAGTAAAATGTAGAAGCAGCTTATATTTGGAATTTTCTTTTACTCTGACAAAAGAAGTACCGTTAGATCTATATTAGTAATTTATTGCTATGGCACTAGTAAACATATTAATATATGGTAAGTTACACATTTCATTAAAGTAGAGTTAATTTAGGACTTAATATTCAGCAAGAAAAGTATACCCTATTCTTTTATCAATTTTGAAATGTGATAGCAAATCAGAAGACTTACTTGGAACTTGAAATGCAAAAGCAAAAACGAGCTTTTCTTCAAGAAAAAGTATTTTAGCATGATTTCCCCAGTTATGAAACAAAAACTAGGCTGAAAGGCTCACTATGCTCACTTCATCATCACGTATTCGCCAAACACTACACATAATAACAAATACATGCTGAATCATTAAGCAATGTAATAACCTAAGCTGTTTATACAAATAAACTCAACGTCATCTCTCAAATATGTGCCCTTTCAACTTTTCTCATCTTTGACTGCACTCAAATGTTTGCTACTAATATTACCTGAAATAAATGCATTATATGCTGGAGGGATAGAATAGGAAGGCCTTTGCCCCGAACGCAGCAGACTCTGGTGTAATCCCCAGCACTGCATATACATCCCTGAGTAGTAAGAGGAGTAACCTTGAGCACGGAGTCAGAAGCATCAGACCCGGGATACTGGTCAGGTGTAGTCCAAAATTAACCCCCAGAACTAATTAATTAAAAAATAAAAACAAATGGGTCTAACAGACTTGGTTAAATTCCAAGCACCACTAGGGGTCACTCCTAGATGACAGAATAGCTGGAATAGCTCCTGAACACTAAACTGAAATAAATGTATTACTACGTAGGTAATATTCTTTGAATGCATTCTATCTTTTACTTTGGTTTGCAAGGGCCTCAGCTATAGCAACCTTTAATTCATTAAAAAAGTGCTAAGAGCAGGGTCTGGACTGATAATACAGCAGGTTGGCAATTTGCTTTCCATGTGGCAGCTTGCTGAGGTTCGATCCCTGGAAACCCTGACTGTCTCCTAAGCACCAGGAGACAAGATCCCTGAGCACTGCTGGGTGTGACCCAAAACCAACCAAACAAAAGTGCTAAGAGGGGCCAGAGAGACTGCATGGTGTGTAAAGCAAGTGCCAACCAGGGTTTGATCCCTGGTACCACATATGGTCCCTCAAGTGCCGCCAAGAGTAATTTCAGAGCTCATCCCTGGCATAAAACCAAAAGAAATCCCTGTACACCACCAGTTATGACCCATAAACAAAACAAAAAGTGCTAAGAATAAAATTTTATGATACAATCATAAAATCATCTATAATGCAATATACTTTTTCCATTTCAAATGAAAAAAATTTAATTAATCTATGTCAATCTACCAATTTGAGTTTCAAATGACTCTTGGTAAAACTGAGGGTACAGAGAAAGAGCATTTTCTAGTGACAGGAGTACCGTGATAGATACGATAAAATTTTTCTTTCAATACCACAGGTGGCAACTACAAAGGCCCTAGCAGCCTGTCTACAGATAAGGAAAACAGTCCTTATTTTTAAACATATCTAGAAGGTAATCATGATGTCTATATCTGATTTTCAAGCAGCTTAGCAAAAACAAAAGAAACAAACTACATAAAATCTTTGAGTAGGTATTCTCCTTGTTAGTTGTATGTTAGTAAGTCTTATCACTTTTGCCATTTGACCTAAATAATCCTTTGTTCTGGGGACTGTCTTGTGCACTGAATGTTATTAAAAATAAAGCAATTATCCCAATGTACAAAATTAAGTATATGGATTTTATTATAACTATAAAACCCAACTGAGATCACCTAGAGCACTGCACAGTGTTTCTCAAAGGTTTCCAAAAGTGGCCCACTTCTGGGGGTTTGGGCTCAGGGTTGAGGGGGGGAGAGAGCAAGAGACAGAGACAGGAAACATCCCTTCTGAACTTTGTTTTCTTCCCATCCTACCAGCTGGCCCCATAGCCTTCTGCTGTGGCCCTCCATTTGTGTGATCTTCCAACTGCAGCTCTCTTGGAAAATCCTGAGGATCCACGAGGGAACTATCTAGATTACAGCTTTTAGTTTTTCTTTCTTCTAAGAGGTTATTTTGCTTAAGCTTTATTCCTTAAAATCCTACCCACTTAAAATGTATTTTCTATACTATTCCACGAATCTCTAAAGGCAGTTAACCTTATAATTTACTTGAAGAAACCCAGGAGTCCATAATTATTCACATTATGGATTTTATCACTATATTCCCACATCATTTAGAATATATCTCTGGTTTGTTGTATGTGCTGGAAGTCAGTCAGCTACTGAATTTACAATTTTGACCAGATTGAGGTTCAGTCTTTTGTCACTGAATATGTGATATGTGGTATGACATTCTTTCAGGGTCATTTCAAATCTTAATAAAGTGCAAATTGCTTTTCCTCCCCGTCTTTCAAAGCAAAAAGAAACAAAAAACATGAGCATATTTTTTCCCTTTGATTCCTACTGGCAACAAACACAAAGAAGCAAGTTAACATCTATCTCCTATCAAATTTTATTAGAAACTCCTTAATCTCCAGACTTTGAAACCAGTGGTGCCCTTGGCACAGTTTTCTAAGTAAAGCAAACATGTACTATATTCTACTTGGATTACAATTATTTTTTAAAAATCTTTTTTTCAGATAATGATTTTAAGCACACAGAAATTTTATGCCACGTTACTATTCCTTTATAGGATTCCAGAAACTGTAATAGTTTTAAATGGTTCATATTTCATGATAAAAATAATTTCTATGAATTATATCTCATAATGAATGCTTGGCTAAATTTTGCTAATTCTAGATGATTAACATGAAGAGCAGCATATTACAATTCTAAATAAAAACTGGATGTTTTTCAAGAGGAAAAGAATAAAATTTGAGAATGTTTCAAGAAGCATAAAGTTTCAATGAGAAAAATTAATGGGCTAATTAAATGTTGTTCCTATCTATAGCTCCAAAGATTAACAAAGTGGTCTAATAATATGTACTATTCCTTTGAAAGAAAAGCCTATTAAAACCAATTACATAAAATTACAAAGTTTAATCACGTATAATAAACTATCACTCAATATTCTAATAAGTATCAATGAATGAATTTTTTTTCCATTCTCCTAATAAAATACTCTAAAGAATGTATATACAACTGTTGGAAAAGAATAACAAAGGATCAAACAACCATTCAGAGTTATGGTGTATTTTTCTTAGAGAATTGTGCCTGGGTGATTTTTTTCCGTTATAGGGTTTAACAACCTGATTGGGACTTAATCATATCATTATATAACTAGGAAAACAGCATAGTAATAAAGGTTTGTAAAACAAGACTTCTTTACGTGATACTAAAGCACAAGATCTGGACTCTGATTCTTTAAGATATTAGTCAAAAGCAATGGCACTTCTACAGAGAGAGTTTTCCACAGGCTACTTCTGCTGTTCTGATTCTAGAGAGCTGCCTGGCACTGGTCCATGACTAACAACATGTTTAATCTAGTGGCTAAAATTATATCAACTCTTCTATGTGCAGTACGAAAATATAAAAGAGACTGAATGCTAACAACCACAGATTTATCAGTTAGCACCCCAAAACACTTTATTTTTTATATTTTTGTGAAGCAAGATAGAACTTACTTAGAAAGCTATATGGGAAAAGAAAGAGTGAAGGATGTGTTCAAGAGAGAACAATGGCTTCTCCCAAGTGGAAAAGCAAGCAAGCAAGATACATTCAAGGGAAACATGGGCTTGAAAAGCAAGCCAGACACTTTATTTAAAAACTATTTTATAAATGCTCATTTATTTCTTACTCATTTAATTCTAAACATTTAAACATTAAGAAATAAATTACTTAGAAGTGAGGCAAGAAAAAGAATTCATTACTTGTACTTTTTCTGTTAACCCTATATAAAATTCTTCAGCTCATACTTTCTAAGAGTTTCTTAAGTATCTGAGAATATTTATCAAAAGATGAAGAGGCCCAGCATTTATAACTGTTACCATATAATAGTAAAGCAAATAGGAAGTTCTTTCAAGAAAATATTTTAATCTTTTCAAAGTTTATATTAAAAGAGATCATAAGTTTCAAACAGAATAAATATGCAGAGAAAAGCCCACAGCTGCATCACATACCATTACTGCTTTTCCCTTCATAATCTTAATTGATCCAAACTATTTTATAATTTAAATATTTTTGTTTGAAACACCAACATTTAAATTTTTAAGTTCTACTTAAAAAAAAACTATCTTAATATTTTTGACTAAAATTCAAAACTTCACACAACATATAAAAATGATTTTGGTGGTGAATTTGAGACTTTGGTTTAAAATGTCATAGAACATATTAACAGTACCTTTCAATAGGGCCACTTTAGCAAGGGGTTCGTTTAGGTCTTGCTCATCCATTTGGGCGTCTTCAGGAAGGAAAAATAATTACAAAAAATACTCAGATTTATCAGAAGGCTATTGAGACCTAAATAAATAACTGAATTAACTCATATAGCTTTATATAAATTATTATAAAAGAATTTATTCAGCTACTGCATTTAAATAGTTGAAATAGTTCAACAATATAGCAAAGATTTATGGAAGTGAGTTATTAAACATTGCTTTCTGCCCCACACAAACTGAAATCTCCATCCACATTAGCCTGCATACTTCAATAGCTCCATCAATAACATTAACAGCTGCAGATTTGTAAAAATTAGATGAAAACTTACCTGTAGTATCGTCGCTACTTTTTTCCTTGCTTGGACTCAGAGTATCTGATAAGTCAGATTCCTTTGCTCTTGCCTGGTTTTCTATAAAGAAAAAAATAAAAGTAGAATCATTACAATAGCTTATATTTGAAAAAATTGCTTCAGGCTATGAGTGTTCTAAATCTACTGGTATGCAAATTACTTTTAAAATTAACTGAGGTCACTGAATCTCTTACTTCTTCACCACTCTAGTCCAAAATGGAATGCTGGTTGTTATTACACGTAGCTCATATTAAATTATAATGTGGATCATGTCTGCTGTGCAGAGGGCTGGGGCTTTTGTTCAAGGCTGTCCACTTGCCAACTGGAAACAAAAATGAAGCAAGCTTTGCTAAAATATTCAGAGAACTGAAACAAATATAGCAAAATTCCCAGGACAATGTGGACACTGTATGAAGATGATGACAGCAAATGGCTCTATAATATAAAAACACTATCCAGATAGCCTTCATAATATTTATATTAATACTCTAAATAAAACCATGCTATAAAAGTAACATGTAAAAGAATATAACTACCTGAACCGCATTGCGAAAAGGTTCTACTTTTTATTTTCCACCTGGTTTGCGGGTTTTGGATTTTGGTTTGGTTTTGGGTCATATCCAGCAGTGTTGGGAATTGCTCCCAGCAGTGTTTGAGGGACCATACGTGCTAGGATCAAACGTGTACCTATTGAGTCATCTCTGGCTACAAACCCTAACTTTATTATTTTTTAAAATTATTTGTACGTGGTATGATGCCTAAACCAATGGATCCTTGATCTAGTGTCCATTGAATAGATCTCAAAAATCCAAACTACAAGTTCAACAATTTACTAAAGATGACTGGCAATTAATTAGGTCCTGGACTGGTACTGGGCTGGTCTCTGAACTGGTAAAACTATGTATGCCAGAAGTTCTTAATTTTATATGACCAATTCTTTTCAAAAGAATTTATTCAACACTCCCCTAGAAATATTACTAAAACAAATAGAAAGCATCTCCATTGTACCCGACGTCACTACTGGCCCCCTAGATCATGCTAACACTACTTGAAGGGGGTGGGGGCTGTTATCCATTTTGAAGAAGACTGGTGTATTTACTATGGCATTAGTATAGCATTTATAGAATGGTTATTTCACTCACCATAACCCAACAGCACTGCTCTCTGCCCCAAGATTTAGTCATAATCTGGTCTCTGCATTAATTTCCATATTAGCTTTGTTTTTAGTTTAGTCAGCCTCTTTACATGAGGCTGTCTGCTAACATCAATGTTTTTCCTAACCCCAACGATCCTTCTCTACTTGGATTATTCATTCCACTAGATACAGCTTAGGCCCCATGTAAGGAACTTTTCATCTCTCTAACATGCTGCTCCTTTACTGTATCTTCACTGTGCTACATGTTTTTGATTAATCATTTCAAAATTTTATATCATTGTCTCGCTCTGTATGTATGCATTGCTATAAATTATTTCCTCAAAATATAAATTCACTATACTATATAGATGGATACTTTGCAGTACTGTTCATTATGTAATGAAACAACACTCAAGATAAGTAGATTTGGTGGGAGAGGGACATCTTTGGCAGTACTCAGGGCTCCTGGGAGCTATGCTGGCGACAGTGCCTGTGCAGCAGTGGGGGCTGATGGTTAAGGGCCTTGGTATGCAGTACTGCGAGTCACAGGTGGCAGTACTCAAGGAGCCATGAGGTACTGGGGAATCAAACCTGGTGCTTTGCACATGCCAGGCAAACATCCCAGTCCTTTGAATTACTCCTCTCGCCCTATACTTAACATTGTTATATGTTAAAAGAACAATCTGCATATTATGCCCTATTAAGATGGAAAATAGCTACACATTTAACAATGAATTTTTTTGTTAATGTTTAGGAGGATTTACAAAAAAGAAAAATGATTATTCTAGCAGTAAAGACATAATTGACATTTATTATTCATTTTTGTTTTGGTGCCACATCTGATGGTGCTCAGGGCTTACTCCTGGTTCTGTGCTCAACAATCACTCTGAGCAGCTCTAAGGGAACTCTATGTGGTGCCAGGGATTGAACCAGGGTCATAGGCATGCAAGGGAAGTACTTTAACCTCTGTATTATCTACTTCTTCAGCCCATACTTCTTTCTTTATTTTAGTTGCTGGAGGGTAAGCTACTCCCGGAGGTACACAGGATCATGCAGCCATTCTGCAGTGCCAAGGATCAAATCAGGACCTTGAATATGCAAATCATGTACTCTACCACTGAGCCATATCCCTGGTCTTTGACAGTTATTTTCTAAGATCTTACACAGTTAAAAATTATAGTGAGTATACAGTTTATCATCAACACTAAAAAGCTATTTCAATTTTTAAATCCAACATCTAATACCATTATTACCATTAAAATATTTAATAAAATCTTAAAATACACCTTCTTGTGGAAAGTTATAAGGAAATACTCGGGTTTTCAAAATTGGTAATGAATTACAAGCAACTCTGGCTGTTTTGGTTACTGCCACTGGAGTTGAAGGCCAATGCCAAGAGATAGGGAACTTTGATTACAAGTGAAGTCACTGACTATGGAGGCCCATGGGAATCCAATCTGTGACCAATAAGCATTCATTGTGAATGTTCTAGTTTTGATCACAAAGTTACAGTCTAAAAAATTTAATCTGTATATAGATAGAATGTGAAACACTGGGGGAACAGAAAGGAAAATTGAAAAGTTGATTCTTTTGATTTTAATTTTCTTGGAAGTTTTATCAATCAAGATATTAAATTAAATCAAGAAGAAAGTATTTTCAAAAGTATTATTCTGCCTTAAAAATAACTTTTACATTTTATTTATTTATGAGAGGAATGTGCTACACCCAGTGGTCCTCAGGGGCTATGCCCGGTCTTTGCTCAGGGATCACTCCTGATGGTGCTCAAGAGACCATATATAATGCCAGGAATTGAACTGGGTAAACTTCATACAAAGTAAACACCTTGACCCCTGTACTATCTATCTGGTTTTTCATATAGAACTTTCATATTTAAAGGATAAGCCCAGAAGTTAAAATTGCCCAAGGGAGACAGAGAGACTGCAGAGGAGTAAAGGCTTTTTCCTTAAATACACTCAACCCTGGTTTAATCCCTGGTACCTCACACAATCCACCAGCACAGAGTCAGGCTTAAACAAAAAAAATGTTCAAAGGAATCAAATGTTCGCTCACTAGACTATAAGCTCCCTGAGTATTTATGGAGGGGTTTTATACAGGCAGGGGTTTTTGTCTGTTCTTTTTTAATCTACTATATAAAACAATACATACATACTCCAAGAAGAGGATGACTGAAAGCATTAATCTACTTTAACAAGAAGAACATTAATCTATTTTAACATGCTAAATTTTTAGCATGTCAGGTAATGGTTCATCATTGTGTCCCAAAACTATACATAGATGGTAAAGTATAACTTTGTTTTGAATTATACCAGCAATGCTCAGGGGTTACTCCTGGCTCTGCACTCAGGAATTACTCCTGGTTGTGCTCAAGGGACCATATGGGATGCAGGGGATAGAACCCAGGTCTGCCGCATGGAGGCAAGTACTCTCTCTGAAATACTATCACTCCGTCCCTAAGCATAACTATTTTTTCCACAAAATATGTATTCTTTACCTATGAAGCAGAACTCAATTTTCTAGTGTTGTCACTGTCACTGTCCTCCCTTTGTTCATTGATTTGAGCAGGCCCAGTAACATTGTGAGACTTGTTACTGTGTTTGGCATATTGAATACGTCACGGGTAGCTTGCCAGGCTTTGCCGTGCGGGCAATATACTCTCGGTTGCTTGCCAGGCTCTCTGAGAGGGGCAGAGGAATCGAACTCGGGTCGGCCATGTAGGCCACATGCAAGGCAAATGCCCTACCCGCTGTGCTGTGCTCCAGCCCTTTCTAGTATTAAAAAAAAATTACTAGTGGTTGATTTTCTTTGCATTCTAAGATACATTCCAATAACATATAGAAAGAAATAGAAGAGTAGTGACCAGCATTAATACCAAATCTGTTACCAAAATAAGGAGCTTAGAAGGTATCTATTTTCACTATATCCTAATGCAAACACAATGATGGCCTAAATAAACACATTGGCTACAGACCCCATCCGACATCAATGAAACCATTACTTGCAAAGAAAGCAAGATTAAATATCAAGGTAGGACAAGAGAAATAATCTGATGGACAATGACGTATACATAAGAATGTTTCCTTAAATTCTAACAAAACATTGCAAGATAAATACTCCCAATTCCACTTAGCAAATGAGAAAACTGAAAAATCAAAGAATTAAAAAAAAAATCAGTTGACCGAGAGCATAAAATTACTGCTGTATTGAATCCATTAACTAATGAATTCAATACAGAATTGAGGAGCCAGAGCGACAGCCCAGTGGTAGGGTGTTTGCCTTGCACGCAGATGACTGGGTTCCATCCCTGGCATCCCATGTGGTCCCCTGACCACCACTAAGGAGTGATTCCTGAGTGCAGAGCCAGGAGTGACCCCCTGAGTATTGTTAGGTGTGACCACGTGCCCCCCCAAAACAAAACAAAACAAAAACAAAAAAACCAAGAAAAAGCAGAGATGAATTCAGTTGTCATACCTACTTTCTATTTCCATCCCAAGCTACTGTAAACATATAATGTCTGTAAGATGAATCAGAGCTCAAATAGAAAGCATATGCAGTCTGCATTTGATTAGGTAAAATATCTGACAGAAATACTAAAAGTTGTAATAGCTGGTAGTTGGTAATTTCTAGTAGCTGATAGCTTCAATGCAGAGAGAGAGAGAGAGAAAGAGAGAGAGAGAGAGAGAGAGAGAGAGAGAGAGAGAGAGAGAGAGAACGCGTGCAAGAGAGAGCAAGCAAATCCCCTTCCTAACATCATAAGTGAAAGCATTTTAAAACTGGTAATACAAAACTGTAAGATAATAATTTAGCCAAATCCAAAAGAAAAATCTTTTTTTTTTAATCTTTTTTTTTTCTTTTTGGGTCACACCTGGCGATGCACAGGGGGTTACTCCTGGCTCTGCACTCAGGAGTTATGCCTGGCGGTGCTTAGGGGACCATATGGGATGCTGGGAATCGAACCCGGGTTGGCTGCGTGCAAGGCAATCGCCCTACCTGCTGTGCTATCCAGTCCCCTTAATCTTTTTTTAAAAAAAGAATAATTTTTTTTATTGAATCACGATGAGATACAGTTACAGCTTTCATTTTTATGATTTTTATGCATTTTATTTTCAGGAAGTAGTGCCCAATAGTTCATCCAAAAGAAAAATTTTTTAGAGAAAGAGTTAATGCATTCAAAAAGTCACTTATTTTAGCCATTCTAGATTACAAGGTCTTGAACATCTCTCTGTATGTTATTTTATTTATTTATTTTTGCTTTTTTGTGTCACACCTAGCGATGCACAAGGGTTACTCCTGGTTCATGCACTTAGGAATTAAGTACCCCCTGGCGATACTCAGGGGACCATATGGGATGCTGGGAATCGAATCCGGGTCGGCTGCATGTAAGGCAAACACACCCTACCCACTGTGCTATCACTCCAGCCCCTCTCTCTGTATGTTAGTGAGAAGTACTGGTATAGGACTACTGAGAGAAAAGTCTCTGAGCATATACAACACGTACTGCATTGTAAGTAAATTTTTTTTCTTTTATTGGAGGGGTTGGGGGTCCACAGCCAGTGCTGGGTACTTGATCCTGGTACTATCTATCTGTTCTTTCATATAGAACTTTCATATTTAGAGGATAAGCCCAGAAGTTAAAATTGCCCATGGGAGATAGAGAGACTGCACAGGAGTAAGGCTCTTTCCTTAAAGAGTGGTACTGTGCTGGGGTACCATGTGGTGCCAAGAACAGAAATGGAGGGTTTGCTGCATGGAAGGGAAAGACTTCAACTCTCTGACCCTGTATTATCATTCTTAAACAATATTTTGTTTACCTGAAGGGACTTGCTTGCTATAATTTATTTCATAATTATAGCAATTATTGTTGAACACTTATATTTTACTTGGGTGACATCTGGCAGTGCTCAGGGCCAGGAATATGGGGCCCTGGAGGGTCACTCAACAGGGTTATGCAGAGAGGGTATTTGGTGTTAGGTCCTGGGGATTTAACTCAGCATATACTAGGTACATGTGATCTACCACAAGTTCTCTCTCCTACCACTCTTTTCACTTTTAAAACAACACTGAAATAAATTACCCTTGCACATTTGTCAAATTTGTTCCTAAGATTAAAAACTTGGAATTGGGAATTCTGGATAAAAAGCATGCTCTTACAAGCTTTTGATACATATTTTAAACAAAAGTTTTAAAAGGAAATCAGTTAAGACTGCACAAATATTTTTTCAGTAATGACAGCATAAAATTTTAAAGAAATACATTCTAATTCAGACTGCATTAAAACAAAGCAATAAGGTAGCAGATATTTTAATTAAATAAGTGCTTTATTTTTTTTTAAAAGAAGGCTCAACTTCCACTTCAAAGTGTTGCCTATTCAACCAACTAATCCAAATATGTACTTAGGTGGTGGAGTTAAAGCTATTTTAAGTCTGTTCTCATCTCACTTTAATAAGATGAATAAATTGCCATATGTACTAAAAATAGCTCACCGTTCTGAAATTCAATGCTTGTTTGCCAGAACAATATTGGCGATTCATATTCTATGCATTCTTTCCCCAAATATGGCATTTCCCATGCACAAATTTGAAAATGGGTATTATCGGATATCTGAAATAACACTATCCTTTTGAATATTTTAAAATGCCAAATGTATCATATTACTTTCATAAAACAGAGTGTATAAAAATTGAGTACACCAAAATTCTATCATTGATCAAAAATAAATGTGACTCTAGTTTTAAATTTTATGATAATATTCGATGAAAGTCATGAAAGAATAGTGAGAATACATGACTAAATTTTGGGGGCTCAATTTTCCTAATGTATAAAAGCAAGCTGACAATATATTGCTTTGAAATTCACTTTTCTTCTCTAAGTTTGACAACTGTAACAGAAAAGAATGAACAGAATAAACTACCTCAATTATAAACTATTCATTACAAAATACAGAAAGATTCTACATACATTTAAAAAATAAAACTGAGAAGCATAATTAAGAAAATATTAACTATCACAAGGAATATTAAAGGTTCAAGCCCCCAAAGTTAAACTAAAAGCTTTTTTACAACCATTGTTTCATAAGAGATTATTTTGTGTTTGATTATTCTGAGATCAAAGCTGAAAATAATAAATCTTTGTTATCTAACAAAGCCCAACTGAAGCATTAATGTTAAATACATATATACATATAAACCCAATTAAAAAGAAACTTTCCAATTAATATACTCTTCTTAAAACAGAACTCCCAAACATTTCATAGTATCATCTAATACTATTACTTGGATATCATTTTGTGAGCTATAAAAAATATAATAATGGTTTAAAAACTATGTCCTTGAAAATATACACTAACCTTCATTATCCGAACGAGCTGTCAAACCCCACAGAAAATTTCCCACAGAAACTCGGAAAACAAACCTTTTGAAAGCTTCGTTTCTTCTACCACTTTGGTTAGATGCCCCTCCGCGATCAGCTTCTCTGCCAAAGAAAATAAACGTTACTATCCAAGCCCAAACCAAGTAGCATTTCCCCGAGCCGGGCAGTGTAACACATTCCATGACCAAATTTAAAGATGATAACATTACTCCCATGACTAGGCTTGGAAAAACCTGAACCTGGAAGAAGAACTAAGAGAACTTGAACTACAGTAGAGCAATTGGGCTGATACAGAAATCTGGGGGGTAGGTGGATAACTTATTTGCTTGTTATTTTCTATACCTATGAACTTATTTTAAAAAGCAAAACTTAAAAAACAAACTCAGAAGAAACAAAGCAACCCTCTTTCAATCAAGCATGGTAAGCTGAAGTAAAGGAATTTCTCAGACAGCATGTTATTTAAATAAAAATATAAATTATGTAATAATTTACCTTTCCCTATTGGTAAAATACAGCAAAAATCCCTATATGTTTCAGTAAAATGAGCCATTTTAGAAGAGCTAATTATAAAAAGAAATTAAATTTTTTTTCCTTTATGGATGGAGGGATTATCCTATATAGTGTAATGGTCTTAGAGTTTACTTATTTGGATTTTATATTCTTCATTTAGGAGGCTAATTTATTCTGTATACCTCTTATTTAATGATTCCCTTCAATTTATAATGTTGCCATATGTAAAATAACTTCTCTATTCCCTGAGCACTTAAATCACTGATCTTGGTCTACACACACCACTGAATCTGCTCCAAGAAACTATAGCCTCCTATTTGTCAAAATCCATGACTCTTTTCATAATTTTCATTTCATATAAGCTCTTTGCTGCATGTGGTACTGTTTGCCTGATCTTAAAAAAGTCGTGTACAAATTTAGACAAATTAAAAAAGTGATTAGTTCTCTAAGATATAGAATGTTAGCTGTTCTACTCATCCTCGATGCTACCTACCCCATTCTTAGAAGCAAAAAATCTTAAGTCATATTTTATACATTCATATTTCTAAATCATGTATTTTCCCACCACAGACAGTATTTCACAACAATTTCTTATGGATGTATCATCCTGATGAGACTATTTGTCTCTGTATTACTGTATTATTTATATCTGAATCATAAAAATATGCTGTGATTGTATTTCCCTTCTTATATAACATTTAGTATTTTCTTGAATTTATAATGATTTTATCTTATTTTGTATACCTGTATCAAGCACAACTGAAGTTCTTACAGAATCAAACTTTCGATATTATCAAACATCAGGAAAACTGTCCCTCAAACCTGTTTTCCCTTCCTCCAACCTTTTAATCTCCCTATTAGAGCCTGCTTTATCTTGTGTTAACATTTCCCCTTTATTCTAAATCTTCCTTTTCTTGTCGTCTTCCCTTGTTTTACATTATTATAAACTATAAACATTATAGAGTAATAATCTAAAACATTCTACTCCATTACTCTTGACCATTTCTTGAAAAGGAATAGATAGAAGAAAAATATTCCTTCGAAAATAATAGTATTCTACTTTCATATTTGTCTAATGTGACTGGATACATTTTTATGGCAGTCAGATTTCTATTTGTTTGCTTTGAATGGCAGAAACTTTCATGCTCAATAAAACCTGGTTTGTCCTAAACTTTAGGGCACCTGAGAGAACTGCGTTATTTCAACTCCTCAGCACTGAGAAAGACCCATGTGACTGGTTATATCCAGGGAAAATTATTTATGCGGACAGAGAATTTCTGAAGTCTCTCCATTCTCTTGCCCTATAAATCCTATGGTGAGAAGACAACTTGAAGTGCCAAAAATCGCTGTTAGATTTCTTAAGTAACCTATGTTTATCTTCTCCATGGATGTGTGACATCAGTAACAAATAAATAATTATTAAACCATTAAGATTTTGTAATTTGTTGCCAAATTATCATTTAGTTTAATATGACCAATATAGTATAAAGTCCTGTATTTCTCTCTAGTAATTAAAAAAAATATTTTCTTTACCCTGGTTCTCTTAAAGTTAATATGACTCAGCATGTGGCTTTTTTTTGCTTTTTTGGATCACACCCATTGCTGGAGCGATAGCACACACAGCCAACATGGCCGACCCGAGTTCGATTCCTCCGCCCCTCTCGGAGAGCCCGGCAAGCTACCGAGAGTATTCGATATGCCAGACACAGTAACAACAAAGTCTCCAATGGAGACGTTACTGGGCCCGCTCGAGCAAATCGACGATCAATGGGAGGGCCTTTACCTTTACCTTTACCTTGGATCACACCCAGCGATGCTCAGGGGTTACTCCTGGCTTTGCACTCAGGAATCACTCCTGGCGGTGCTCGGGGGACCATATGGGATGCTGGGAATCGAACTCCGGTCGGCTATGTGCAAGGAAAACGCCCTACCCACTGTGCTATTGCTCCAGCCCCAGCATGTGGCATTTTGTTTATTTCATTTCACTTACTTTTTGCCCACTCTGACTTTACTCAGGGCTTACCTTTGGAGGTACTCATGGGACCATTATGTGGTGCCAGGGATGGAACTAGGATTAAATATGTGCAAGGCAACTTTCCAATCCACTGTACTATCTTTCTGGCCCAGTATGTGTTCTCCTTTCTTGCTTGTTTTTTGGGGTTCTGGGCCTCACCCCCCAGGCTTACTTCTGGCTGTGCTCAGGGATCACTCCTGGCAGAGGGGACCCTATGTGATGCTGGGGATTGAATCCAAGTTGGCCACAATGTAAGACAAGTGTTTCACCCCCTGTACTATCTCTTCAGCCCAGTGTATGGTCTTTTAACAGTATGAAATCACCACCTCCATTGTTAAAAATATTTCATGACCCCAAAAGGAAATCTTCTAAATTCATTAAGAGTTTACTCCCTGGGGCTGGAGCAACAGCACAGCGGGTAGGGCATTTGCCTTGCACGCGGCAGACCCGGGTTCAATTCCCAGCATCCCATACGGTCCCCTGAGCACCGCCAGGGGTAATTCCTGAGCGCAGAGCCAGGAGGAACCCCCGTGCATCGCTGGGTGTGACCCAAAAAGCAAAAAAAAAAAAAGTTTACTCCCTCACTCTCCCCCTCCCTGCCCCCGCCCCCCCCCCGCCCCACACACACACAAAGGAATTTACTTCCAGGGGGCAGGAGAGATAGTGTAACAGGTTACTACATATGAGGCCAACACAGGTTTGATCCTTGCACTGTATATGGTCCCTCAAGCATCGCCAAGAGTGAGCCCTGTGCACTGTTGGGTATAATCCCCCCCAAAAAACCAAACAAAATACATAGCATCCTTATCTTGCTTGTTTCATCCATCAAACTTATTTTTCTGAAAAAGTTAATACTCTTTTGAGGTGGGGGGTGGTCACTATCAGCAATGCTCAGGGGTCACTCCTGGCTCTGCACTCAGGAATTACTCCCACCAGTGCTCAGATAACCATATGGGATGCTGGGGACTGAAATCAGCTCAGCTGCCTGCAAGGGAAGAGACCTACCTGCTGCACTATCTCTTGGGGACTAAAAAAACCCAGTTAATACTTTTTAAGGGTTTTGTTTAAGGGGGCTCAACAGACTGGAGCATGGGCTTTGTGTGCGGAAGGTTCAGTCCCAGGCACCTCCTCTCCTAGACCAGTTTTTTTTTTATCACAGTTATATGATTTACATCAGTATTAATATTTATGTTTTAATCGTACAATGTTACTGCATGCCACCTAAGTTCTTCTACCAATAACCCTAGGTTTCTTCTCTCTTTGCTCTCTTCACACTGGTAAGCTCAGTTCTGTTGACAAGGTCTAATGGGTTGTTTTCATTGGTACCTGACTGCTGCCTTGTTTGTCTCTTTATATTCCACATTTTAACATCATACGGTATTTACCTTTCCCCTTCTAACTACAGAGCATTTAACATGATACCCTCTAATTCCATCCAAATTAGAAAGAAATACAAGCTTTCATAGTTTCTATGCTCATTGCAGCACAATGAACATAGAAGTGTCTATATCTTTTCAAGTTTGGTGTTTTGTGTGTGTGTGTGTGTGTGTGTGTGTGTGTGTTCTTGGGACAGATACCAAGAATACTGGCTCATATACTTGCTCTATTTTCAAACATCTGAGAAGGTTCCTTACTGTTTTCCACAGAGTATAGACCAGTTTTTCATTCCCACCAACAGTGAGTGATACTTCCTTTTCAAAGCATCTCCACCAGTACAGGCTGTTTTCATGTTTTTGATACATTCCATTTTGATACAGCCACACTGGTTCAGGCAGCGGAAAAGGCACTGGAAAGCAATTTCTTTCTTTCTTCCTTCTTTCTTTCTTTCTTTCTTTCTTTCTTTCTTTCTTTCTTCCTTTCTTCCTTTTTTTTTTTTTTTTTTGCCTTTTAGGTCACACCCAGTGATGCACAGGGGTTACTCCTGGCTCTGCATTCAGTAATCACCCTGGAAGGTGCTCAGGGGACCATGTGAGATACTGGGAATCGAACATGGGTTGGCTGCGTGCAAGGCAAACGCCCTACCCGCTGTGCTATCGCTCTAGCCCTGGAAAGCAGTTTCTTAAAAATTTAAATTTATGTGATAATATATGGGCTGAAGCGATAGCACAGAGGGTAGGGCGTTTGACTTGCACGCAGCCAACCTGGGTTCAATTCTTCTGCCCCTCTCGGGAGAGCCCAGCAAGCTACCGAGAGTATCTTGCCCACACGGCAAAGCCTGGCAAGCTCCCCATGACATATTCGATATGCCAAAAACAGTAACAAGTCTCCCAATTTGTTGTGAGACGTTACTGGTGCCCACTTGAGCAAATCGATGAAAAATGGGAGGAGAGTGCCACAGTGCTACAGTGCCATTCTCAATGGTGTGAGATGATATCTCATTGTGATTCTAATTTACATTTGTCTAACAATCACTAATACAAGTTTTCACAGTTTGTATGAAACTATGAGAGTTAAACACTCTCTACATGTCTGTTGGTCATCTGTATCTGTATGTCTTCTTTGGAGAACTACTGTTAAGCTCCTTCCCATTTTTTTTTTGTTTTACTGTTGATATTTTTTAGTGCTATGTGTGTTTTGA